ACAAGCGTGGGGTTATCACAAATACGTTTTTATAAGGGGAAAAGTGAAAAGGAGGGGAGTTTACTTCTGCGGTCTTCAGACAGGTCATGGAAGGTGTGTACAGGCGTGAGATTGTCACACGCGCGGTGTGGCACCATGCAGGACTTGGGGGTGGGGAAGGTTGGGTTACAAGGGGAATACCGACACCCATGGATCGATCCATATCGGTCAATCGCTAGTAAAGCTTGGGGGCTGATGGGCTTTCATTAGTCTAGTTCAACTACACCAACACGTTCACCCTACTCGTCGCATTGGAATGTGGTGTGACCTAAGGTACCTTTCAATGCAGTACGAAAACCACCGAGTATTCCTTCACTCCTCGCTAATGAGCGATTTCCAACGCTTAGAAGTGTTTGGGTGCTTACCGCCGTAGTTGGACTTTACGGGTATGTGACTTGGCGGTGCTATTCAAAATGCATTACAAATTAAAGTTTTCTATTGGCTTGACTTTTGAGACTAAATCAGGCATTCATGATTCACTTCCGCGTAAACGGAAGCAACACTAACCTTTTTTTTCATCATTACGCTTATCTTTTTTATTGATCCGGACATACTTCTTTTTGAGAAGGAAATGAACAAAGTGAATCCTTAATAATGCTAGTACGTCATTTAGAACTATGCAACAAGTGAGGTTAGAATGAAAAGTGATCGATGTGATAACAATGTGTGTTTGACCGCCTTTATCGTTTGATCGGCGTGTTTCCTACTTATATTGGTTGTGCTTAAGTAGAGCTTCTTTACATCAGTAATAATAATACAAGCATTAGAACAGTTTGATATGTGTTCCCTGCCAGAGAATTTCTTTCAATTTGCATGATAAGATGTAATATAAATGTGAATATATAAATATATAGATATGTATATATGGATATGGGTCTTTAGATACCTTACCGATCGTCCCCTTTTTATCTAGAATGACCGCCTTGAGCAATGGCTTTATTTTTCTATAATGGCTGCCTTTTGGGCGCGATATTTTTTTTTCTACCCTTATCATGCCTTGGAGAACTTCTCATAAGAAGGCAGCTAATCCGCTGGTTTTATGATTGTCATCATCTTCATCAACGCGTCTTGCCGCTGCACCTCGTACATAATTACTTTTTCTGGATCGCGCAGTTTTTTGAATGATAAAAAGCTACGAAGTAGTTTTTGATCCGACTGACGTGGGATGCCATTCGCTTCATTCGAATGAGGTGGAATTGAATTTCGCCCCGACACCGGCGGCCGGCAGGGCTGCATTGAAGGCGGAAGCCAGCGGCTGACCCCACCCAAAAGCTTATGCCCCCACAAACTCGTCAACAACGCCTCTTTTTCATGCATGGCGCGGTTGTTAGCGGAAGCGGTGGGGGCCACTTTACATTCCTGAGCGGCCTTGGCGTCGTTTTCGGGGTTAAGATAACCCCCAGAGAACGCCTCGATAGAGAAGCCGCATGAAAACTTCGACAGGCGAAATTGCTGCTTGAGGGCGTCCGCAAAGAGCGAAAACCGATCCTGCGGAAAAGCCTCCCCTGTCGGGATGTCGCCGGGCATCCTCCTTTTCCTAAGGTAGGACTCAACCGCGTCGTTTTCCACATCGGAGGCGCTTTTGACGGCCGTGAAGGCGATCTGCTGGATGCCCGGCTCCCCGCCGATCGCGCTCCGCGAGGCGCGCAGGATGGAGGGCTGGGGATCCCCAATTCCCCAGGGCGGGGACCACTCCGACGAGGCGGCGGCCGCGCGCGCCACCTCGGCGAGGGTGCTGTCGGGCAGAAACTCCACCATCTCCCCCCCGACCCCCTCGGCGACGAAGAGCGGGAGGATCCCGGGCGGGGGCGGGAAGCGGCCCGCGTCGCGCGAGGTCGGCGAGGTCGACAAGAAGGCCTCGCGGGGGTCCTGATCGTCCCGCTGGGCGCGCCTCTCGCGCTCCAGGTGCTGGGCCAGGACGTCGGCGCGGAGGAGCTGCTGCTGGATGATGAAGTCCTGCGCGAGGCCCTGCCGGCGGCTGTCGAAGCTCGCGTAATACGGC